TGGGGGAGATTGGAGGGCTGGGGAGGTATTTATATGAGGAGGGAGTGAATTAGGGAACTGGTTTTGTGAGCAAACAAGGCCATGTGATATGTGGGGGCAAAGAACAACCCACAAGTCAATTAGGGAAAACAGTGTTCAAGGGGCATGCATGGTTGCTAGCAACCCCATTGGGGCGGCTTGGCCTACCCTTGCTTCCCTCGAAATGTACACCATGGGACCCCTCTCTCTATCTCTATGTACTAGTTTAGTATCTACTCATACGAGTATTCTGTTACTCCTAATAATGTTTAAAATCTGTTTGATAATTGTTTTATTTTTTGTGTTGTTTGTCTTTCTAATTCAGAATTCAGATAGCATAAAGATAAAAGGAAGAAAGAAGATTGAAAGCCAGAGGAAAACAATAAACCACAATGGAATTTTACATAAGTGAAATCTAAAAAAATATATGATTTTCCTTTTCAGGTTTTTATTTTGTACATATTGACAAGCATTAACTTGTGAGTGGACATATTGACAAGCATTAACTTGTGAGTGGTTAATTTATAATGAATTAGATTGGTCTAGCTCAATAGGTTGGTTAATAAGTTTATAATAGCCAGATACAGTGCTTTGTTACTTGAATTTTTCTTTAACTTTTATTTGTAACTTTGAGACATTCATTGTATTCAATATACAAGAGATTTCATTTCTCTTTTCTTCTTCGTCTTCTATTTGATTCTCAAATCCTTCAATGCAGTTAAGAGTATACATTCTCTTTATTTTTCATCCTCCCACCCTTTTCTATTCTTTCTCCCTCTCCTTTCTACCATATGTTTTCTCTCCGTATTACTAAAACTAAAGTGATTATAAAATGGATATTAATTATTAATTGGAGGTTGAGGTCCCCTTTTAGAGAAATAGTTTGATCAGATGTTCAAATAGTTTTACTCATGCTGTATATATGAGCTTTGGAAAATTCGAGAATGTGTTTGTTCGAAGTTTCCTATCATGAACAGTGAATTGGCCGAAGAAAAATCTGTAAAGTTTTTCTCGATGGAAGGATCTGTCACACTCAACTCTCGTGTATTCCTCTCAACCTTAACGGCGCATATTCTTTCAATTAGGTTTCGTTTCATAGTCACCAATGCAGACAAGAATATTATATTATATAAAGTAAAAGTTATTGGTTGTTTCGAACTTTTATAATGTAAATATAGCATATACAGTAGCTAAAATTGGAGTTGCATAATGCATGCTCACATAACCTTCTTTTTATAAAATACAAACGATATTGGCAGAAAGAAAATTCAGACCTCGTATGACTACTTTGCTCTTAATTATATGAACCCTTTCCTCTATAAACTTGACAATTTTGTGTTCCATCCATTATAAATCAATCCTGAACTAAAACAGAATAACAAGAATGGATAATATGTAAGACAAATTCTCAAAAAAGATATAAAGAACAATGATTGAAGGAATTTTGAAACGAAAAATTATGGACGCCCTTCCAATTAAAGAGTAAGAAGTTAGCAACTAATGGTGATTGGATATTGATGGCATTTATTGGAGTGCATAATCATAGATCAGCAAAACATTTGGAGGAGATCATTCATTGCTGATAGATTATCAGCAGATCAGACTACGTTGATGGGGAAATATCATTTCAATTTTTTACGAATTATAATGTGTGGGGAAATAGCATACTAGAAGCTATTTTAAGAATAATAGTGAGTCAAGAAATGACATTTCAATCTTTTAAATTTTATAGTAGATGAAATTATAATTTAAATGAAAAAATAAGACACTGAATGGATCTAACAACTCTCTATTATAGTAAACTATTTTGCATGTCGCACCAACAAGGTAAAGAAATTGCGATGTCCCTTTATTTGGTAAACATTTTGGGTACATCCAATTCTTGGTCAAAAAATAAAGTGACTGTATTTATTTAATAGATGATGGGCATCCATGGTGCATACTGCGCATAACAAATTTGTTTGATAAATGTGGGAAGGAGGATTGAATATGCAGCCTCTTTTAGTTTTAAGAAAAGGAATACAACTAGACTAATATATATATGTAAATACGTCAATCTTCTTCTAAATCATACAATCCAAAAATTTAAGCCGTCTTTCCTTAACAACTTTCATTTTGTACTTTACAAATACAAAAACAATTAAAAAAAATTACGGAAATAAGATTTTTAAAGAGTAAAAGGTAACTAAATAGTTAACTCGATTAATAATTATCAACTATTGATCAAATACAGACGCTTAAGCTCAAAGTTGAGTACAACTCTTAACCTAAATTAGTTACTTAGTGACTATTACGAATAAAAGGCAAAATCTTCGTTTTTAAGTGCAATAGAACCCAGCTAACTGAAAAACAATATTAAATCCTTCAAGAACAAAGGGTCAAAAGATTTTTTGGTTGGCAACTGAACCAGAATTCTTTTTTCCAAAAGGTGGTCCAAATCCAAATAATGGTGTGGATTTACCTTTTTCTTCTTAGGTACCAAGCAAAGTAATCACGCATATATGCAATTACTCCATTGGATACAAGGCCATAAGATAAAAAGGTGGTGTTAGGTTTAAAGTTTAAACAGGTTGAGTATATGTTGTTCTCCATATCAAATGTTTGAGAACATAAAGCGTCTAAGTTTACTGCTCGTCTCATATTTATATTCTTCACCACCAAATCAACATCCTACTTCAATTTCTCGTCCTTGAACGGTCTATAAATAGATGTTTATATATTATCGTTTAAGGACAAATTGTGTCCACATGTGAGTGAAATGGTTAGAAGCCTTTTGTTTAAGACCCAATAGTGTGGCTTAAGAAATGATAGTTGCTAACTAAATACGTAAAGACTTGAGTGTCATCAAAATATAAACTTTATTTTCCTACGGCACTCAGGACGAGTGCTACAATGATTCAGAAATATGTTAGGATCTCGTCGATCTCAATAGGGGACCAAATGAACGCACATTTGTCTCACCGTTTTTTCTATGCTTGTCATGTACACAAAGCAACAGAAATAGCAACATACCAAACTCCCATGCCCAACAGGTTAAGGTCAGCCCAGTTGCCCTAAGCCCCCAAAACGGTGGGCAAACTTCTCTCAGTCACATCTTTTGGTGTTGCTTGCCGCCTTGTGGCACTGAAACTCATTGACAACCATAATTTTTTATAAACAAAAATAATAAAATTAAAATTCGTATAAAATTATCAAACTTTGTAGATGAATTCATTTACACACACACACATATGTATATACAGAGATAATTTGTAGGTGCACATGTTCAACTTGAGTTCCAAATGCGCAACGAGTTCTGGAAATGTCTCACCATTTAAGACTGCCCATGTTTACCTTTGTGATAAAACCAAAAGCGAAAAACCAGACCATACAAATACAAAGATGTATGCAGAAGGAGCTGCTGGTAAGTTAAAGACACATGTTCCTAATAAAATGAGCACCAGTTGTTACAGTACTAGTCTCTCTCTCCCTCTGTCTCTCTGACTCACTTTTGAGAGAATTTAATTAACCCATGTTCTAAGGCTCAAAAATTCAGCCGGCATGATCATCTGTCTTCCTTTCTTCAATGTTTCATATCGATGCAGGATTGTCTGTATGAGAATATGTATGCGGAGTGGTAAGTTTGTACACGACGTGATAACCAGACTCCAAAATGACATGAAATGAACGGTTCATACTAATATGTTTTATCTCATAATCGTGTCAACCTGTGTAGCACAATTAATAGACAATTCGTGTTTCGAGTCAATCTGCATGTTCCGGAAGCGACATGCTTTAACACTTTCACAGCCATGTAACATTTTAACCTGTAGATTCACATAACCCGAAGATCACAAGATAAGACATTTCCATTGAGGGGTGAGACTATAAGCTTAACTCTTTTCTTTGATGAAAATATTATATTTTATGGATAATTTTGTACTTACGAACAATAAACGGGTTAATGTCAATCGTGTAATACCTTTAATAATCGTGTCATCTGTCAATTGTGTAGTACCTTTAATAATCGTGTCATCTGTCAATTGTTAACCTTTAATAATCGTGTCATGTTCGGATTGACTCTAATCGTGCTCGTACAGAACACGTGTTAACAAGAACCCAACCCATGAACGCAAATGGCCGCCCTTACTCGCACTACATACTAACACTCTAACCAATTAAAAGTTGGTATATGATGTATTGATAGGAAAATTTGTCATACGAACACCAATTATGCTGATCCAGCAGTTTTGGCTGTATTCGTACGACATACATCTTCGTATGAAAGAATTTTTCCAATCAATATATCATATACCAGTTTGGTGTTATAAATTCATTATGGCAAAACTCAAGGAACCAAAGAGTTCCTCCAATACCAAAGGACCTAGTCACATATGCGGTTACCCATGTTGTGGTAAGGTGGTACCAACATATGCGGGTACCCATGTTGTGGATATGATGAATATGGATAGAGAGTACAGCATTGAATACTGGAGGTACCACAGACCATATCATCTTAGCTGAAGGCACGACCATGATTGCCAATTAACAGAGAGAGAGAGAGAGAGAGAGAGAGAGAGAGAGAGAGAGAGAGAGCTCGTGTTACAGTAGATGTTCAAAACCTAACAACTTATGGACATGTGAATGCCATGTTTAAAGAACCTGACGTGAGAGGAAAACAACACAGAAACTGTACATTGCATTGCAAATCACTGTATCGAAAGTCAGAATTCTCTGCATTTGAATTCAGAGTTCCACTCGAACACTTGATTAATCCGATTACATTCATTGTCGCTGAATAAGCAGAAGTTATTGAACAGATTAAAGCTGCTTTAAATGACTAGAATGTTTGATGCAACAGCAACTAAAATCTGTGAAATGACTGGAAGCGGTTCGAATCATGTATTCAACTTCTAGTTGAGAGCTTAAATTGAACCTCTTGCGTTCAGTGAAAGTAAACTCGGCTTGTAAGACTGAAAAACATCAAAATTACTATGACAAAATGAGCAAAGAAACCGAGTGGCTTGTGATAGTTCATGTCATACACACAAAGAAACCGAGTGGCTTATGATAGTTCACGTCAAACTCACAAATCGACCAATCAAAACATACATGTAACTTCAACATATGCATAAGTGCATTCATACATATTTTACATTCATGTGTTCGTGCACGCAAACTTCTAATTCGTGTTCAGTGATATGCTCCTTTGTTGTTCCTATACTAACCTTCAGTTAGCTCTAAAGGAGAGATTTAAAAAACATGGAGTTTACCGTAACTGTGGATACACATGTTTACATCAATAACCATTCATTGATCTTCCGTGTTTTACACTGACGAGGAAACTTCAAGGATGACCTAGCATGATCATGCATATTCATATCCTGACGGTGGTTTTGACAGTTGGGGCGGCCCATCCAACATACTCAGTTTTCTTCTCACATTGACAATGTGGGCTTGGACCTATCAAGTTGAAGGCAATGTAAACATGTTATTCTCCCAAAAATCCCAATATAGAAATCTGCAGTCAGACCATTCAAACAGGCACAAAAGGAAGAGCTAAACGAGCAACAACTCGGTACATTGAACTAGGCATATGCCTACACGTGAAACCAGGCCCATAAAATAAAAGTTACAAGATGAAACTCATCATATGCTTTCTGTTTAGTGAAAAACACAGGACACTCAACAATAACCCGGTATTAGACTTGACCAAAAGTAAGAAGAAAGAGGAATACAAGTCGCAAGAATTGATAAGGGCAACAGTACATGCAAAGGGTCATAGCTACAAGTGAAACCCGAGATGATTAAAAATGGATTCAAGATAGTGCGGGACATGTAAGACATCCAGCAATAACGACTCAGACTTGAACACAATGGACAGACCTAGAGAGGATATACATACACTGTAAGGGAAGAGAAACAGATCATCATAACCAGCTCAATAGAAGCTAATAATAGAACGTAATCTCTACTAATCTTAGACAGCAGTAGAAGAAAGGCCAGTATTTCCATTCTTATTAGGTTGTTTTGTTTTTTGGGGGGGGGTGGGTGGAGTGGGGTGTGGGTTTTGTGTGAGGAAAAAGAAATTGTATACTAGTTCCAAAGTATTAGCATTTTACAACTAGACGAATGGAATAAAACTAAAAGAGCATTGACCACATTGACCAGTAAAAAATGAAAGAGAACATAGGTACTAATTCTAACCTCTTGACGAGCCGCTGCAAGTTTTAAGAGCTCATCTGCCTCAGAAAAATTCAAGAACCACTGACTAAGGGGATGATCTTTTGTGTCCCCCCGTTCCTTGTCATTCTTCTGATCAATTGACACTGAAAAAATCCACATAAACATTTAAAATCAAAGGATTATAAGAAGTGAAGGTTCAAAATCCATCAAAGCTATAAATTTACCAGGATTAGGCAAGTTAAAACCAGCAGGTAAACGGGGTACTATTACAGCTGGATGGTTCTGCAGACGAGCAAAACAAGCCTCTAAGGGATCAGGGAAAACTATTTCATTGTAAGACTCCACAACAACAGGTTTCTTGGTTGACTGGGGCCCAGATTCATCTTCAGTATATAACTTCAAATGGTGATACCTGCATGATATGAGCTCCGGTAATTAATGATCCGTATGTTTTCAAGTAGATGAAATCAATATCAGAATACGCAACTCACAAGTCTAACTGTCTCTCACAGACATCATTGTGGAAGAACAGACTGATGGCAATTTCAAATTCACCCCAACCACATTCCGTTAACTCAAATGGGGGAGAATCAATCACTCTCATAGGGTTATTGAAACTAGGATGCAATTGAAATATAACTCGCTTTACCACCACACCAAGGTCCTCATTTGTTGCCCCACGAACATAAACAGTCCACTTATGGGACTGAGACCTAATAAACGGAAAACATATGCGGAAATTATTCAAAGATACAAAAAGGCATAAACTGGAAATTATTCAAAGACCCAATTAAATGAAAATACTTACTCACTGGCCTTCCTACCGAGGTAGAATGCAACTGTCCCGTATACTATCGGCACACAGATATCAACATCCTTAAGTCTCTTGTTTGTGCTCTATGACAACCGAAATGAAAAATCATCATAAATGTTATGGAATTATGTCTAAAATGAAAAGTAAATGGCATTCAAATATACGGAACCAACAAATGCATATCTCTTTAGATTCTTCCCGTTGCTTCCTCAAAGTCAATGAACTAAAAAATCTACTAATTACAGAAATAATATCAAAAGACTACAAATTTGTAATGAAAAAAGAAGAAAAAGTCAAAATTTCCCGCCTCTAAGTTGTGATTCACCAGAAACCCACTACATTATTGAGCTAATTTACAAATTTAAAAGAAAAAATTTGAACCCAAATGTTAAGACGAACAGAGGAAAAAATGCACTACCTTCTTGTCGCCATCTTCCGCAGGCTTTGAAGTTCGGACTGGCTGCGACAGTTGGGCAGAGCTGCCACCCTCCTCCGGCTGAGGCGGTTCAGATTCACCTGCTTTTCTCACTGACATTGTGAGGAAATATCAAGGTTGTCGTGTTTTCAGTTTAAACAAAGGAATTGAAACAAATAGTTCGACGGGAAAAGCACGAAAGGGTTTTTCAATTGGGAATATTTGCCATCTGGTATTGCAATTCCCTTGGAGAAATTAGGTTCCAGAAAGGGCAAATTGGAGGAGTAAAGAGGGGTTAGGGTTTCAGTTCGTTTGCCTTTGTTATTTTCAGCGGTATTTCCAAGTTTTCCTTTTGTTTTTTCCGAGGGAAAAAAACAAATTATTTTTTTCCAAAATTCTTTATTTAAAAAAAATATATGTTGACATTTATTACAACAGTCTAATGATTTCACTTCTAAGTGAGAAGTCTTAGCTTCGATTATGACCAAATGTGAATTTGAATCAAATTATGGCTAGGTCACCCCCTCTCTCTTAGTAAGATACTATCGTTTCTTAAAAAAAAAAAATTAAGAATGAATTCCACATTTACGAAAGGAGTAACTTTAATTAGGTATAAATTGCATTATATTGTGAATTAATTTTACTTGTAACCCTAATTTTTGTCAAAATGAAAATTGAAAACTCGCATTTTAAGTAGTAACTAAGTCTTGTGTTTTAAAATAAATGAAAACCGATGGACAAATTTTGATGACTCACAGGAATAGCTTTTAAAAAATGTAAATAATTGACGAACGAGTTTTGATTTTTTGAAAATAAATAAATAAAAACAAAATAACTATTGTAGCATCCCTTATTATTTTTCAAGATATCCTGCAAAAGGATAAAAACCCAACAACCCAACGGCCCCATACAAAAAAGTCAAGGTAACATGAATCCGGATTCTCGCAGGATTCTCTTTGTAAGAATTTCGAAAATCCGTGAATCGTGTTCGTTCATCGTACATTATGCGATCATAAATTATTTTAAATATTTTTATTTAAAATTAAACACAAATAATACTTGATAAAAACTAACCGCACGATATACGTACACGATTCACAAATCTTCAAGATTCTCACCAAAAGGATCTGGGGAGGATCCTGTTGGAAGGTAACACTATCATGTGAAATACAAAACATTCGTAAAAAAATTAAATGCATGGCGATGCATGATAACTTTAGGAAATTGTGGAAGTCTTTCTCTGGTGCCTGTTTAGAAGCAAATACAAATGCTGAGAATATAAGAGCCGATTAAACTTCACGTTTAGCCTATAGATTATAGATTAAATCACCATGCTTGATATAAAACATTTCTACTTAAAATGTGGCCGGAGTTCAGATAAAATGCAGATCATTCACCAATAACATTCAAATGAAACCTATACAGCAAGCGATTAACAATGAGATTGTTTTCCAATCAATGTATGATGTTCTGGGTTCGGTCCAACTGCAGCGTAAATGCAGAACTAGAAAATGAGTTCAAGGGGCTCTTCACTATGTTACAATTGAAAGAAAGAGTCTCGGACAGAGATTGCAATCCGGAGTCGCGCATTCATGCATGCCTCTCTGGTACGTTGATAGGTGGAACTGATCCAAACTGTGTTGCAAAGCAAGCCACTGGCCAAGCGAGTGTCAGCAAATTAGATGTTCGAGGCACTCAAAGCCATCACCTTGCATTGTTCATTCATGGCCAGAAGTTGGGCCTCTTTCTTGTCAAGAAGAGCGCTCAGCTTCACATTTTCTTCCATAAGTTTCTGGGCTTCCGTCTCTTTCTGGACTTTCTCACCCTCTAACTGTGTTGTTTTCGCAACAAGCCTGTTTCAAAGCAACATCAGAATGATAAAGCACCAAATATTTCTACCTAGAGTTGATGGTTGCAGAAAAGGGCCGAGATCAAATTGCCAGAGAGGAATAACCCATATTACAACGATTGCTTCAAAAACATAAGAACTTGTGCACACACGAAAACACGTGCATATGCCTGCGCATGCACATATGTAGAAGACTGAAGACTGACACGTTCATGTTTCTACAGGAATAAGGACAAGATTATCTCTATTTTTTATTTTTTTTAATGAGAAGAAGGTTCTCATAAAAATGGAAAAAGAAATTCAAATAGTTATGTTTAAAAACATCATTTAGCATTATAAATACTTCAAATACATTTTTTCTGTAATATTCTATGTGCCTTGGCCATGTAAATGAAACAAAACAAAGAAAAAGCCCAACACTTTCTTAACTAAAGGATAAAAGAGTACCCACGTAAAAATCTTTTTCCATTGACTAAGTTCCTATTTCAAGAGAGTGGCATATTGTTTTAAAGAAAAACTCAGCACCTCAATTGATCAAACCAAGAAGTTCTACCTACCATGTTCGTGTTTGATGTCACTTGCCATGACAAAAGCAATACAGTGCCCAGCAAAGCACTCAATCCATGATAATGGGGCACTCAATCCATGATAATTTGTAGGACAAACAAGAGTAAAACAAGGATAGCAAAGAATATGGCATAACCAGCTAAATGATAAAAAGTGGAAGCACTTGAGATGAATGAATATGTATTGAATGCAGAAGAAAACATACTCACCGCTCAAACAGTCTCTCTATAGTTTGAAACTGTTTCTCTGATGAAAGCAGAGTTTCTCGTACAGTTATAAGACTGCTGACATATGATTTCAGAGACTCAAAGTCCCGCTTGACACGGCAAAGCTCCTGTTCATTTTCTGCAGCTCGTAGCCTCTGCCTAGTTGTTTCTTCAACCAAATCCTCAACTCTCTGCCGCATTTCATTTAAAATACCATTTGTACCTAGTGCAAAGTGTTCCATCTCCTCTAGCTTCACAGACATGTTCTCAATTTGAACCGACTTTTTTTTAATTTCTTCCTGACCAAAAGTCACCTTCTCCTTCTCAATTGCAGTTTCAGATTCTGCCAGTAAAACTCTCTTCACAAGAGCTTCCATTACATCCGTAACCATCTGAACAGATTTAAGTAGTTCACCAATATAAGCCGCATCTTGTTCATCCAGAGGACCATGCTGGTTGCTAATCCCAACCCAAGTCTCTTCATCTGGACTATCAAAGGAAGTAAGATCAACATTCCTAGACCAACCAGACAATGGTGTACCATTTTTATCAACAAGGCCCACCCCTTCTAATTGTTTGATGCCACATGATGTATGTGCTAAATGAGGAACAGCCATTACTCTTGATTTTGATTTCAAGTATGTTAACACCGTTGCAGTAGTTTTAACTCTCCGCCAAAGAATCTCCAGTTCCTTTTTGGAATCTTCCTTTGACCCCTCTATACAAAGCTTTACCTCCGTAAGCTTTGTTTGTAATACATCTACTTGGGAATGGCGCTGTTCTATCTCCTGCTTCCACGGTTCATGTGTTTGACCCAGCTGAGACTTCAAGGTTGACAAGTCAACATCTTCCTCTGCTGCCATCCCCTGTTCAAAGTTACGAAAATGAAAACTTTGAAATTTAATACGACAATGACTATTGACCCTTCAAAGGAATAACATATTATGAAGCTTAAATAAAGTTATAAGCAGAAAACAAGGTTCCTAGTAACTCAAAAACGCTTGATAACATAAAAAAATATACGAAGTTTCCATCTTGCGATATTTGGCATAGTTCTCTGGTCAATGCAGTTGAAATGCACCCAAATCAAAATAAATCTAAGGTTAATCATATTAAACACATTCACCACTACAAACTGCTCAATCACGGAAAAAGGCTTAAATCCAAGCTGCATATGCTAGCACTAAAGAACTGGGATATTCTGCATGATGTAGTCGTTGCAAGCTTCAGGCAACGTAGGTTATACACTCTAGTACAAAGAACCTAATAGGTTGCTTAAACGAAACTTAAAAGTCGAATAGAGCTACATCTATGCCTCGAGAAAAAATATTAACACACGTAAGAAATGTTTTAGTTCGCCAATAGCGGAACAAATGGGTGATCATCACCCAAGTACTTTTAGGTATTTCCCTGAAAGCTACACTATCACTCATATATGCAATCAGATGACCAAACAACAACAGGCCAGCAACGCAAATGCATCCCTCAACTACAACTCGATAGCATTACGCAGAAGAAATCTAGACGACAGACAGATTAAAGAAGATCCAAAATACGAATTATAAATCTAAGGATATTTCAAGTTCAAAAATTCTGAGAAATGGAGGTGAAAATTAAAATATATAAATTTGCACAGAAACTTAAATCACGCTTAACCCTAATTATCATATTTCGAAGCTAATTCTGTAAACTTTTGCTCTACAGTTCATCAAACTAATCGCATACAATCACAATCCGATCTTAACAAAAAACCTAAACTTTGAACAAATTTACAAAGCAAACTGAGAAAGGCGCGTAATCTCCAAAAATAAAACGAAATTCTAGCATCGGACGCACCAAAGAGAAGGAAACGATGAACGATTAAAGCAAAATTCAAACCGTTGAGAGAGAGAGATGAGAAGGGACCTTCGGAATCGAGGAAACGGCGAGGGATTCCGACGAACGTTGGAGTGGAGGAGGAGCAGATGGGTGGGTGGTGGGTGCCGTCTTCCTTTCGTTTTCGTCCAGCACACCGGTTTTTTTCTGTCTGCCCCTTTCTTCTTCTGTTTTCAAATAAACAAAATATAAACGGGAAAATTTTATGAAAAATGTCTATTCACATACCTTCTACATTTTTTAAGAGGGGTGTTGTCACTGACATTTGTCTATACACTTTATGTGTATGAACACATTTTTTTAGAAAATGAGAATGAGAGCGGGAGAGAGAGAACGTGGGGGAAGTGGGAGATTTTTGTTTTTTGTTTATTTATTTAATTTTTTTTTAATATTGAAAGCATTTTAACATCATCTGTAGGCGAAGTTTCAATAAAAAATAGTAAAATTTGGACTTGTGAAATTACATTATTGCTCATCATTTTTTTTTTGTGTGATAAAAGACTAAGTAGTCTTTTCACCATATTTTGGTTGACAAAGAAGATTTCATTAATTAATAGAGATAATAGATATATGAATTAAAATTTTCAGCAGTTTGTCATACCAACTTTTTATTAATTTATCATCTCATTCTAATTTCATTAAGGTATCCATCTAAAATAAGTCATGTGACTTTCCTATGACTTATTTTTAAAGTTATTATGGACATTTCAAATCCCCACCCTTGTTCAAGATTATTTCAAACATTTCAACTTCATTTTTTTTATAGACATGAATGACCTCGCTGATTCTCAAAGCTTGCAATTAGTTAAAATTCATGTTAGTGAACCTAATGTCTTTC